ATGTAGATGTGTGGCTTTGTCTCTGTGTCTTCTATTCTGTACCATTGGTCTATGGTTTTTAGGCCAGTACCGTGCAGTTTTTGTTTCTGTAGCGCTGTAGAATGATTTGAAGTCAGGTACTGAGATGCCTCCAGCATCGCTCTTTTGGCGTATATTGCTTGGGGTATTCTTGGTCTTCCAAATCAATCTTAAGACTGTTTTTTCTAGTTCCTTGAATAATGTCATATTTTAAGGGGAATCCCATTGAATATGTATATTGCTTTTGGTAGGATGACCATTTTAACAATATTAATTCCAGGCAGCACTATTTCTAAAAAGTCCTTAAGCAATTACACTGTGAAGCCGATGTTTAGATGCTGTCAAACTTGTGATCCTCCTGTCTCAGCCTCATGAGACACTGGGATTACAGGCATGAGCCACTGTGCTTGGCTAGGAAGAATTTTATAAATTTAACCATGTCAAAATTGAAGTTTTCTAGGGCTGAATAAATGACAAGTGTTAGCAAAGATGTAGATGAACTTATGCACTGCTAGGGGCACACTGCAAAACAGAGCATCCTGACAGTATGTGGTCAATAAGCATGTGGGGCCCTAAGACCCAGCAATCTCAGAGATGTTCTTGCCTGGTTCCACAACTACCTACGTACAAGGATAAGTCCTGAAGCATTATTTGTAGTGGTAGGAAGTTGGAGGCAACCTAGGTGTCCGTCACTGGAAGAATGGATAAATAAAATGTGGTGGATGCAAACCATGGAATTCTATGCAGCAGAAGAAGAGAAACAAAGATCAAGAGAACAAAGATTTTCTTTTTTTTGGGGGGGGTAACAGGGATTGAACTCAGGGGTGCTTAACCACTGGGCCACATCTCCAGCTCTTTTCTGTATATTATTTAGAAATAGGATCTCACTGAGTTGCTCAGGGTCCTGCTAAGTCACTGAAGCTGGCTTTGAACTTGCAATTCTCCTGCCTCAGCCTCCCAAGGCATTGGGATTATAGGCGTGTGCATCATGCCCCGCCTAAGGTGCAAAGATTTTCCTAGGAACACCACTATTACAGTTTGGATCTGGAATCCAACTGTAGGCTCACATATTGAAGGCTTGGTCCTTAGATGGGGGTGTTATTGGGAATTGGTGAAAACTATAGGAGGTAAGACCTAGCTGAAGATAGCGGGCCTTGTGGGCATACTTTTCAAAACCATATTTTGCCCTGTACACATTAGTAGTCTCTCTTACTCTGCCCCTGCCCCCTCCTCCCCAGCAGCTAAGGTGATCGGTTTTGCCCCACCATGGCCCTCCACCGTTATGCCCGGCCTCACCACAGGCCCAGAAACAATGGAGCCAACTGACAATGGACTGAAATCTCTGAAGCCATGAGCCAAATAAATCATTTTTTTTCCTATAAGTTGATTTTCGCAGGTATTTTGTCATGGTAGTAGAAAGCTGCTAGCATTTCATTGGTCAAAATTGTATTACATGTTCACACCTAACTAAAAGGTGACTAGAAAGAAGGGGAATTGGGAGATGTTTGACATCATCTACTACATACCATCTGACTTCTGCGTAGAGGCCCATAGTGTGCATTCACCACATTTTACTGAGGTGGCTTGAGGGGTAGAAGCTTTTTATTTTCCCTCTCCCTCAGCCTCTTCCTCTGGGATTATTTTTTATTTTATTTTTTCTACTTAATGCTTTTTATTAGTTCATTAGAGTTATACATAACATTAGGGTTCATTTTGATATAATTACAAAAGCATGGAATATAATTTGCTCCAATTCTGTCCCCATGACTTCCCCTTTCCCTTCCCTCCTCCTTCCCCCTGTTCCCTTGCCCCTCTCTACTGATCTTTCTTCTATTTACTTAGAGGTGTTTTTTTTAAAATTTTTTTTATTAATGCATCATGAATATATGTAAAGGTGAAATTCACTGTGGTATACTTACGTATGTACATAGGAAAGATTTTTTGTTTGTTTTGGTACCAGGGATTGAACTCAGGGGTCCTTGACTACTGAGCCACATTCCAATCCCATTTTTGTATTTTATTTAGAGACAGGGTCTCACTGAGTTGCTTTAGCACCTTGCCATTGCTGAAGCTGGCTTTGAACTCACCATCCTTCTGTCTCAGCCTCCTGAGCCACTGGGATTACAGGCGTGTGCCACTGAGCCTCACCAAAGGAAAGTTTGATCAGATGTGTTCCACCATTCTTGCCTTTTGCCATCTCCCCCCATTATCCCCTTCCTCTGGTCCACTGAGCTCTCTTCTATTTACATGGCACCCCGTCACATCTTGAGGTATATCAGCTATCTTGTGATTAAAAGGAAAAGTAAGAGCAAGCCATGACATCTAGTTGCTTAACACTAACAGCTTAGTATCCCTGAACGTTTTTATCTTGCGTGAAAAATAAGCCCCTATTTTTTCCTTCTTTCTTTCTTTTTTTCCCCCTGGGCCTGGGGATTCAATTAATTAGTTAATTAATCAATTAATGGTGTTAGAAAACTGGAGGTTGAGCATAGGAGGTTTCACCACTGAGCTACACCCCCAGCCCTTTTATTTTGAGATAGTCTCCCTTGTTTAGGGCCTCACTAAGTTGCTGAGGCTGACCTGGAACCTGTGATCCTCCTGCTTCAATCTCTGGAGCAGTGAGTAGCTGGGATCACAGGCATGAACCACTACACTCAGCTAAAACCCTATTGCTTAAGCCATGCATGTCAGAGTTCACTTGCAGACAAAAGAAATGAATCTGGCTAAGTTTAAGCAGAAAGGATTGGGAAAGCAAGCTCTGTGTAGGGAGCAACTTCTGGCTTTGAGAGTCACATGAGCCTGTGATGAGAAAACAACAGTCCCTACTACAGGAAGCTGATGAATCAGGAAGCTACTCACCAGAGCCCGCCTGCTGCTGTCATGATTTGTGACAGCAAAGCGGATGTCCCATGCTATGTTGCTCTGTTCCAAATTTATGTCTTGCACAAGAGCAGAACCTAAACCACAGATTCCTTGTTCAAGAGAACCTGGGAAGTGCTGTTTTAGCTTTCTAGCTCCTGTAGTTTCGAAGAAACCCTAAAAGCAGCTTTGGATTGATGTTAAGCAATCAGCCCACTACAGACAGCTTTTGGTTCCTCACAACCAAACACACTCCTAACTGCTACGCTACACAGCAAGCAATAAGGATAGGTTTTTTTGTTTGTTTATTTGTTTTTTGCATTACTGGGATTGAGCCTAGCCACCTACTCTACCACTGAGCTTCATCCCCAGGGCTTTTACATCTTATTTTGAGATAGGGTCTCACCAGGTTGCTGAAGCTAACCTTGAACTTGCGATCCTCCTGCTTCTGCCTCCCATTAGCTGGGATTATAGGCATGGGTAAGAACAGATCTTAAAACAAGGTACTGAGTGAGACAAACAAAAAGAGCTCTGAAGCACCCTTCTTAATTTTAGTTAAAAACAGATACACAAATCCAAACTAACTTTTTCAAAACAAATGTATATTTTCCTGGTTTTTGGTAATGCAGATTGACAGAGGAGCACTTTACCATCGAGCCATATCCCCGGCTCTTTTTGAGACAGGGTCTCACTAAATTGCTTAGGTTGACTTTGAACTTTCGATCCTCCTGCTTCAGACTCCTGGCTGGTGGGAATTACGGATATGACACCACTATACTCAACTTTGTGTTTTGTTTTGTTTTGTTTTGAGACAGGATCCTGCTAAATTGTGGAGTCTAGCTTGAACTTGTGATCCTCCTTCTTCAGCCTCCCAAGTCACTGGGATTACATGTTTTTGCCACACACCCTGCTGAAATGTACATTTTTAAGGATATATAAGTGCCAATTGGTAAGGGGAGGAGGAAAAATTGGAACCAGGACCAAGAATGAAAGGGAAACAAAGAAAAACAAAATAAGAAAGCAGTGAAAGTGATACAAACGGGGGATGTAATTGGCTCAATTTTCTACATCAGAGGTCTAATTCATTAAATTTAATATTAATTTAAATAATTTAACAACAACCTATTATTGCATTAATAATTTAACTTAAAATTTCACATTTAATTTACCACATCAAAACTAATCCATTAAATTTAACACATCATAAATTCTATACTTTTTTTTTCTTTTTGTGGAAGAAGGATTGAACCCAGGGTTCCTTAACCACTGAGCCACATCCTCAGCCCTTTTTTATATTTTATTTAGAGACAGGGTCTCACTAAATTAGGGCCTTACTAAATTGCTGAGGCTGGCTTTGAACTCTTGATCCTCCTGCCTCAGCCTCCTGAGCTACTGGGATTACAGGGTTGCACTACTGCCCCTGGCAAGTTCTATATTTTGCGTGTGAGGGTCGGGGCAGGGGCGGGGGCCGGATTGAACATAGGGCACTGTAATACTGTTACATCCCCAGCCCTTTTTATTTTATTTATTTTTGAATCAGGGTCTCACTGATCACTGAGGCTGGCCTCTCATTCACAATTCTGCCTCAGCCTCCAGAGTGGCTGAGATTGCAGGAGTGCTCCATGATATCTGGCTATAATCTATACTTAACTGGACAATTCTTTATTCCTTGATTTCCCCAAAACCTAAAAAGAAAGAAAGAAAGAAAGAAAGAAAGAAAGAAAGAAAGAAAGAAAGAAAGAAAGAAAGAAAGTAAGTCCAGGTGACTTCTGAAGACCCCCACTCCAAGTGCTCCTCAGAGTCCAAACCCTATTTAATTGGATACCTTCACTCCAACACTCTCCTGCCACCGCCCTCTCCCTAATCCTGCTCCATCAAAGGAGAGGGGACTTCAGGCCTAGACCCCACAACCCTTCTATCTTCAAAAGCTCTGTCTTGGAGGCATTCAGTTGGCGCAGAAGACTGAAGGTGAGCGCATCTGGTCCGTGCCAGTCCTACTCTGGGCAGCCGCCCCCACTTCGCCCCAGGTAGGAGGAGCTGCCCTGGAGCGACTCGACTTGGCCTGGCAGGTTCTTGGGGCGGATCTTGGATGGCTAAGACAGAGCACCTGCCCCTCCAGGTCCCCAATCCCTTCCTAACCGGCTTGACCCAGCTCAGCCCTGAGGTGTTTGCAGCAGCTCTTTCTGAGAAAGTCCAGCCAGCCATCTGTTATCTGCATTGCTTCCTGGGGAGGGACAGTCCCTCCAGCCACTCCAGAGACCTAGGGGGAGTGTGCTCCTACGCGTCTGGGAAGTGCTCCTAGGCCCCAGGCTGTGCCACAGCAGTGACCACCTCCTGAGGACCCTCAGAGCCCCAGGTAAGAGAAATAAAGACAGACCCCTGCCCTGAACCTCACGGACACCCTGTCCTCTGCTGGATCCCCAGCCACCCGGGGGCTTGTTCTTTGTCCTCCACCTGGTGCGTGGGTGAGACCCCTGCCAGGAGAAAGGCCTTCCCTGGGGAGAGGGTTGCAGCTGGGGGACCATCCCTCGGATTCAGGGAGACTCTGCTCTTCTCCCTTCTGCCATAGCTGCTGCCAACTGCATGAGGAAGGACTTGTCTTCTGGCCCCAGACTGGAGGAGGAGGATCTGCCATTGCCGGGGGAAGGTGGCCATGTCTGAGGCACCATCCTGCCCCAGCCAGGGCACCGCAACCCCAGGCTGCAAGCTGGGGGCCCTGTACCGGGCCTGTGTCCACAACGACCCCACCCAGCTCCAGGCCAAGCTGGATGTGGGGGTCTCCCCAGAGGAGGCCACCCAAGTGGACAGCAATGGGAGGGTGAGGAGCTCCAGGTGCTTGCCAGGGCAGCTGGGGGCAGGGGGCTTGGTATCCCCCCTCATCACCCTGGTTAGCCTCTGAGAGAGTTTCGGGGCAATCCCCACTGCCAGGAGGAAGAGGGTGGGTGAGGGTGGACTTCACAGGGTTTGGGACAGGCTCTGGACAGATGTGGGGGACAAGGGAGACCCTGAAGGAAAGCAGGGCTGAGCTGTCCTGCCCCCAGACAGGCCTCATGGTCGCCTGCTACCACGGCTTCTCGAGTGTCGTTGCCCTGCTCAGTCGCTGTCCTTTCCTCGATGTGAACCATCAGGACAAAGAAGGGAACACGGCCCTCATGCTGGCTGCCCAAGCAGGTGCGAGGCTGCTGACCCCCGCCCTTCACCAGCCATCAGGGCCACAGCCCACATTTGGTGCACAAGGTCCACGCCAGGCTCTGTGGTGTCTGGTGCAGGGTGGTTTGGGAATCTTGTCACCCCTTGCTTTGAAGCCAAGCTCCACCTCTGTGCCCTGCAGGCCACGCTTCTCTGGTGAGTCTCCTGCTCAACTACTACGCGGGCCTGGACCTAGAGCGCCGGGACCAGCGGGGGCTCACAGCACTGATGAAGGCTGCCATGCGGAACCGATCGGAGTGTGTGGCTGCCCTCCTCATGGCAGGTGCAGGGGGCCTGGACTGGATGCGTGACCTCCAGTCCCTCCCGAAGCCTCCCCACCAGATGTTAATTCAGCCGTCATTTAGTTGCAGAGAGGAGAGAGGTGGAGATGGAGGGTCAATCTAGGCCAACTTCCTGGAGGAGGGGAGCTTGCTGTGGGCTTCTCACAATGAACAAAACCAAGCTATTGACAGCTCTGTTTATGGAGATCTCAGGAAGAAAAGTTTGGGAGAATAACCTAGACCAGCTGTAAAACCCCAAACCCAAAAGGGCTGGTATCTAGAACCACACTCTTGGGTTCTGCTCTTTGCCCTGATGCTGACTAAGTGACCCAAGGCAGGTGGCCTTCCTTTCCATCATAAGGGTGCTGGCCTTGTCTAAAATGACCTTCAACTCTGGCAAGCCCGGCCCCCCGGGAGACGCATGATGGGGCCGTTGAGGCTGGTGGCCAAGTGGAATTAGGCCGTGGTGAGCCTCTTGGGATTGTGGGCCCTTGATATTCCTGGAGGTGGGGCTGCCCTCTGCTGGTCACTCCGGGGGATGCCCGCCTCCAGCTTTTCCCTTCCCTCACCCTGGCTTTGGGATGAGACAGGAGGGAGATCCACAGCCTCCTTTGTCTCAGAGTGACTGCTTCTCTCCCACCCCCAGGATGGAGGGGTGTGCTGATGAAGAAACAAACCAGGAGAGGGGACCAGCAGAACCTGACCCACACGCCTCCCCCAGAGGGTGCGGGCCTCTGCCTGGGCTGAGCAACCGTCTTCCACTCCTCAGCTCAGCCTCTTGGATTCCAGAGGCTGTTATTCAGCTCTGGGTTGAAGACACCAATGGTTCTCAGAAGTCCTTCCCCTGTCTGGACTTCAGTCTCTTCATCGCAGCAATCGCAGCTGGGACTCTCTGGTTTTGAATCTAACACAAATCAATCCTGGGGCTCAAGCCTCTGCTCTTCTGCAAGTCACACCATTCCTTCTCCCACCCACTTGTCACTCTGTGCATCTTCCTAGGTGCTGACCTGACCTCTGTGGATCCTGTTCGGGGCAAGACTGCCCTGGAGTGGGCCTTGTTGACTGACAGCTTTGACACGGTGCAGAGGATCCGGCAGCTGCTGCAGAGGCCCCGAGTAGAGCAACTGAGCCAGCATTACCAGCTCGAGTGGCCAGCCTTGCCAGGGCTCGTGGCCCAGGCGCAAGCCCAGGCCCAGGTTGCTCCTTCCTTCCTAGAAAGATTGCAGTCCACCCTGAGCTTCTCCTTTGCCCAGTCTCCTCAGGAGGGGGGTGTTCTGGACCACCTTGTGACCATCACTACGGGCCTGGCCAGTCCCTTTCTTGCCACTGCCTGCCACACACTGTGTCCTGACTATCCACCTGCTCTCGGCACCCGAAGCAAGTCTGTGCCAGAACTGCTAGGTACTGCCCCCCCTCCTCCTCCAGTACCCCAGCCCCCCCAGGAAGTACCTGGCCCCAGGGTCTTTGTTCCCTACCAAAGCCCTCAGGGCATGTTCTCTCAGTGGCTGCAGCCCAGGAGTAGTACTAGCACTAGGTCCCAAGTTCCCAAGATCCTCCTCTCCAAGGCACCTTCAGCCCCTAGACAATTCAAGTTTATGTCCAAGTCTTCAGGGCGTAATAACCTGGTCCTTCCTCTCTGGCGATACCAGGAGCTCAGGTTGGAGAGGAAGAGGCAGGAGGAGGCAAGGTTGGCACAGGATCAGGGGAAGATGGGCTAGGCCAGGATAGGAGCAGGGAATTACGCCTTTTTCTATGCTGCATTCTTGCCTAGAGATACTTCTGCCCCCCCATCCACCTCTAAAATGTTTTCCAACCTATGTACAAAGTTGTTATAGCACTGTTTGTAATAGCAGGGTAGAACTAACCTAAGTGTCCATCAATAGGGTATTGGCTAACATTTTGGGGGTGGATTACTATATTCTGTGCAATGCATTACAAAGCTAGAGTAAGGAAGTTCTTTATGTCCTGATATTGAAACAAACTGAATTTGGCCCCATTCTGAATTGGGAACAACTTTCTCCTTCTGAGAATGGAGACTGAAGGGCTGCCTCCCTGCCCCCTCCTTGGCCTGACAGATGCTAAGAAGCTGAGAGGCAAGACAGCTCCCTCCCCGGTCCTGTGTAGCACAGGCTAACAAAATCTATATATGTACATTTCCTGCCTTTTGTCTCACTTCCCTACTGCTACTGCTTCTCCTTTAAAGCTCTGTTCACGTTCAGGGATTTCAAAGATGTAACTTATGCCACAATATGTTTCTTCTATCTTCCTTTAAAACTAGCTTTGAATAAAATCTATCTTCCTATCAATTTGATTCCAAATATTTCTGGAGCTAGTTTCTTTCTCTCTGGGCAGGACTGATGCCATCCGGTCACAACATAAAGCTGTCTTCAAGATGAATTAAAGTGATAATAACTGAGAGGTGGAAAGGCATGGAGGTCATCCCACTATTTGTCAAAGTAAAATTTTCACCAATTTTATAAATATAACTAACATGCATACCTGTAATCCCAGCAGCTTGGGAGGCTGAGACAGGAGGATTGTGGGTTCAGAGTCAGACTCAGCGAGGTGCTAAGCAACTCAGGGAGACCCTGTCTCTACATAAAATACAAAATAGGGCTGGAGATGTGACTCAGTGGTAAAGTACCTCTGGATTGAATCCCCAGTACCAGATAAACAAACAAATATAGAGTACCAAGATGTAGTTAACAATTTAATAAGCCAACCAGCAGGATGGATCAAAGAAAGAAATGAAAGACCATTACTGACAATCAGTGGAAGAAAATATGCTGGAATAAGATTGTAAAATTAGGCCAGGCGTAGTGGCACACCCCTGTAATCCCAACTGCATGGGAGGCTAAAGCAGGAGGATTGTGAGTTCCAGGTCAGCTCAGGCAATTTAGTAAGACCCAGTCTCAAAATAAAAAGGGCTGGGGATGTAGCTCAGTAGTAGAGTGACCCTTGGTTCAATCCCCAGTACAAAAAAAAAAAAAAAAAAAAGCCCTTCAAATAAAGTTTATTAGCCAATGATCTGAAATGAAATGCCTTTATGGGGCACTTAGTAACTCAGGGGGGATTTGATTTGCAAACTTTGATTATTTCATTCTGAACACATTTGTTGCAGAAATATATTTGCTTGTATATTTATCATAATCCTAGCAATCATTTATAAGGGGCTTACTATATGCATTAACATATTTACCTCTCCCTGCAATCTTAAGGATTCCAGCTTGGAGGATAGGAGGTACAGAGAAGTTAAATAATCGATCGAATCTCATAGCTGGAAGCCAGCAGAGATCAAGATTGAGACTGAGACCCACTGGCCCAGTTGTGGCCTCCACAAAGCTACCTCATATGCCCTCACTGGAAAAACTCTGGGAAGAAAAAAAAAAAAAGAAAAGAAAAACTCTGGGAAGAAACACATTGTTTTCTCTGGGAAAGAACTGAACAGCTACCCAAATGTGGGAGGGAAAATATTTATTGACTATCTTTTTTTTCTTTGTTTACTTTGTTTTCTTTTGGGTGTTTTGGGGGAATGGGAGGTACTGGGGATTGAACTCAGGATACTCAGCCTTATTTTATATTTCATATAGAGACAGGGTCTCACTGAGTTGCTTAGCACCTTGCTTTTAGGCTGGCTTTGAACTTGTGATCCTCCTACTTCAGCCTCCTGAGCTGCTGGGATTGCAGGTGTGCATCACTGCTCCCACCATCATTGACTATCTTTGAATTTTTTGATTTGAAAAAAACAGAACTGTATTTTTTAGACCAGTTTTAGATTTACAAAGAAGTTGTAAAGATAGTACACAGAGTCCCCTCGGTTTTCTCTTATTGATGTGAGTATAGTACATTTGTTGCAATGAACGAGCCAATATGAATACATTATCATTCACTGCAGTCCATATTTTATTCACACATTCTTAGTTCCTACCTAATGTCCCCGTTCTGTTCCAAGATCCTATCCAGGATGCCAGATGACATTTATGATCACGTCTCCTTTGACTCCTTGATTGCGGCAGTTTCTTGGATTTGCGCTGTGGCTGAGAATCTTGGCAGCTTTGAGTAGTACTGGTCAGGTATTTTGTGACGGTTCCTCAACTGGAACTTTTCTGTTGTTTTCTTGTGATTGAACTGGGGTTATGGGTTTTTAGGAGGAAGACCAAAGACAGAGGTCAAGTTTTCATCATGTCACATCAAGAGCACTTCCTGTGAACATGACCTGTGACTGTGGGTGTTGATCACCTGGCCGAGGTACTATTAGCAGGTTTCTTCTGAAAAACGTATTCTTTTCTCCTGTTTCTATTCGTACTCTTTGGAGGGAAGTCACTATAGGAAACTTACACTCAGAGAATGGGAGTTGCACTGCATCTCCTTGAGGATAGAGTATCAATGTGAATTATTTGGAATACTTCTGCGTAGAGTATTTTGACTTTTTTTTTTT